CTTCTGGTAATATATGGCCAAAATTAATTTCAAATATCCTACAAGATCTAACGTCTAAATATTATTACAGATTGTCTTACTGGTAGTAGCTGATCAAAACTATTATATATTTTCTTCTTATAGTAACTATACAAAACTTTTAAGATGATTTTACAAGTAGTAACCAATAAGAACTATCAGACATTGTCAGGTAGTAAATCATCAACATCAAAAGTACTATATATAGCTTAGCAGATTATTATTGATTTTACAAATAATGATAGGTCACCACTGACGAAACTTACCATTACTGATCACACTGACCTTCTTAAAGTTTAACTTTGCTAATGCTGATCCAACTAATATTTTATAATATTAGTAAGACTCCAATAATTATCATGCCATGCGTAACTAATAACCACATGGAGTTCAATAAACGTTTATGTCACGACTAATCATACTGACCATGCTAGTACTTGAAGGTTACTCCTAATGAAAATCATTTTAGTAGCACTTATAACTAAACCTTTTTCAGATTATTCTTACTAATACCAGTGGATTGGCGATTAACATACGGAGTTTACTAGTTCTTATAAATAACATATTTTGAATTATTCTTAGCTTCGTTGAATCATCTACACTGCTATTGGCCATAATAAATACAAGTGATAAAACACATTTTGTAAATGTAAAATGATGTAGGGATGGCAGTACCAAAAATATAAGGATGATGTAGCCATAATTAGATCAGTCCTATATTACTTGCTCTATCAAAATTTACGGTTACACTGTAAAATACACGAGTATAAAATGTTTTTCATGCTTTGACTCAATTTGGTTTTCATTGTGCGTAAATCTTAGGTTCTTAGTTACACTACATTGATGCCTACACTGACGTGACCATAATATTATTAAAAACAAGCTGTATTCCAACAGTGAGGAATAGATAATTTCCAACTGCATTAATATCAAATTCAAGTGTGTATTTCACTGTATGACATTAAATTTCGATATTGAAAGTTATTTAGGGATGATCTATGTATAGCTATATCATCCTATGTTTTTATTGGAATTCTTTTCGGTACTGCCATCCCTACATCATTTTATATTTCAAATTTTTGATTACTTGTTTTGTGACATTTTCCTCTCACTGAAAGTTTGTGAATTATATGAATATGTGTAATAAAACTCAATATTATGTGTACTATTTTTTTTTACTCCTTCGCTTCATAGATAACATCGGGATTCGTTCTCTAAATACATTGATTGTTTAGCGTACAAAGCTCTGAATATTCTACGTGTTACAGTCTACTCATTGTGATCTATTATCGGCTATTAATTCCTGTTCTACCCTGTACATCATCTTTTTTTTAGAGGAACAACAAATTTCTGTGAAAAGAAAGCCAACTTCAACGGGTAACATCGTTTACACTAGAAATGTTAGTTTCTGTTTTAATTACTACTATTTACTATGACTAACTGATGATATCGTGCACTCTACAAAAACACACAGAGTGGATTTAGGTTTCGCCTTACATATATTGACTTCCGACTCTATGATATTGTTGCAAACACGTCAACCCTAATGACATTGGTTATTCTAGCTCTTGTTTTCAAACTTTTTCATTAGTACCCATTGTCCACACTTTTTGCAATGTTTTTAAAACTCACATATTACTTTTGATCATGAACAACTTAACTAGTTATTATAATTTTCACTTATTCCTGTTCTCCAAGAACGTTGAAATTAAAATAACTTGATGACAATTGCTTTATTTTTTATAAATTCATAATTCTGACATAATTAAAGGGTGTCTAGTGTATTTTTGATAAATTGCAAAACTATGTATCAAACTTCATTGTCTGGGAAATATTGAAATGTTTTCTTTAAAACTAGAAAACAAAAATCAATTTTGTTATTAAGCTTTCCGTGAGATAAATATTTGGACGCCCTTAAATCTTATCGTTACCTGTCTTATCTCAGAGCTACCCCATAGAAAGAAAACACAAACCTGTGAAACGAAGTTATTTTAAGGACCTCAATCGTATCGTGACCTTCCTTGTAGTAAAACGCAACTCGTTTCCTTTCAAACTGATGGTAAACAACAACAGTATATAAACACCAAGTGAACTCCTTTTATAAAGCAGACACCTCTTGTCCGTTAAAGAATTCCTATAATATTTCGGTAAGTGTTAAAATAAGGGATTAATAACTTTTGCATTAGATTGATGCTTATTATTTTTAGCTTTCCATTTGCTTATGTTATAAAATTTTCAAACTATTTACTATAATATATCGATTTGATAACACTTATTCGTCAGACCTTCTGGCTTAGTATACAGTGCCTTGCTAAAGTATTCAATCTACGAATAATGTCGCATTTTCATGAAATTAAAATAATGTAAACAATTTTTAATGAACTGATCTTTATTCAAAACTCTAATGATCAAACATAATACTGTTATATGTGAAGGTGGTTGAATGTCAGCAAAACCTGCAAAGAAAATACATAAACTGGAATTTCCTAATAGTATAAGTATTCAGCTCCCTAAGTCAATACTTGATGCAAGCACCTTTCGTAGCAATTACTGCTGTGAGTCTTTATGTATAGGTCTCTACCAGCTTTAGACAATGAAATGATGTTATTCTAGTCCATTCTTGCTGGCAAAATTGCTCCAATTCTGACAGATTCGTTAGGGATCGTTGATGGAATGCAATCATCAAGTCTCGCCATAAATTTTCCATTAGATTCTAGTCAGGACTTTGAAAGGCCACTCCAGTCCATTCAATTTCTTTTTTGAAACTACTCCAGTGTGGCTTTGGCCTTGTGCTTCAAGCCAATGTAGTGCTGAAATGTAAATTTTCGACATATGTTTAGGTTCTTGGTTGACTCAAGAACGTTTCCCCCTTGGATTCATCTCTACATTTCACCATATTTCCATTTATCCAGAGAAGCTTCCCAGTCCCTGCTGATGAGAAGTATCTCCATAACATGATGTTGAGAACACCATGCTTGATAGTTGGGATTTATGTTGATTGGATGATGTGCTGTGTTAGGCTTGCGCCAAACATAACGCTTTGCATTTAGACTAAAAAACTCAATGTTGTCTTATCTGACAACAAAACCTTCTACTACATGTCTCAAGTATCATTTACATGCGTTTTCGCGAACCCAATATGAGATTGAAGTTTGTTTGTTTTTTCGATAATTTTTTTTCTTGTT